AACGTTCAAACACTCCTCTCTTACCCAGGAGCCTTACATTAGCTAAACCAGCAGCTCAACAGATGATGGTTGGAGGTGTGCCAGAGGAAAGGAAAGTAGGGATGGGGGAGTTTTTGTGTTTTGATTGCATGCTGTTGGAGAACAGTCAGATTTTATGGTATAAATGAAAGAACATCAGGGAGAAATCTCAACGATGGAGAAGGGGTTCGAAATGGGATAAAGAAGGTAAAGACGAGGTGTCTGAGAGTTTTAGGAAGGGATATGGCCGCAGGGAGGGGCAGATTTTTGTCTGGGTGCATGTGTATGTGTGAGAGGAGGGGGTGATATTGCCACTGTTTTTGCATAATGTGAGATGAGACCCCATCATCTTTCCTCCCCCACAACAATTTTATAACAGACAGCTAATAAATGTTTCATGGCAGAACAAGCTGCTCGCCTTGGCTTTATTAAATCTGAGATAATAAAAGCAGAGAGGGAGAGGAAAAGAGAGAGAGAGAATAGGGGGTCGCACTAGTGAGGGAGAGATAGGGAGATCGGCGTAGACTTTTCTCAAATCGACTGGCTGTATCTCCTGTTTCTGGGGCAACGGGTCCCGCTGTCCCCCGCCACCCCCACCCCGCTGCTTCCCACTCCGCCAGAGACAGACAGGAAATGAGAAACGGGCAGACAGGATATTGCGTTTTGGTGGCCTGGGGATTAACTGTTTTATCTAAACTAACACACACACACACACACACACAGACACACCCACACACTCACGCACACAAACACACACCCATATCCTCACACATAGCATTCATTCTTGGTAGCATCAGGTGTAAATCGCACACACACCCAGAGACACATATCATGCAGACCATGCACACCATGCAGGTTTTTTGTTGTTACTTTACACAGGTACATTACATTAGGTCTTGGATATTACAGGCGTCAGTGCTGCTCCCATGTTGAGCTGGTCTTATTACCAGTGTGAACGATTTACAGTGAGAGTTATGGCATGTAACTGTATAACTGTGAGATTGGCTGAGGGTTTGTGCAGAAAAGGCCTCTAAAAATGTATTCCATACATTGCAGGGCCTCATGGTCATTAGATGATAACTATTACATAGCTTTTACAAATTTTGGAGAGCGTTCATTGAGCAAGAGGACTGTTTATGATGTTACTGTATTGATGCCTGGGTGGGTACGTTGCACAAATGACAGCATCTGTCAGTGTTTTATTGATGTTTGTACCCAGGCACCTTATCTGTGTTTACACAAACTGTGCATATTTGTGTTTATGTGTGCATGTGACTATATCCCCACGTGTGTGTGTTTGCGTGTGTGTGTGACTGTACTGTATATATATATTTATATACATGTGTGTATTTGTGTGAGTGTGAGTGAGTGGTGGCAGAGGTAGTGAGTATCGTGGGGAATGCTGGGAGATTTTAATAACACAGAAGCAGTGCAGGGAGATTTAATAAAAGGAGATGATGTGATTACTGAACCCTGGCTCTGAGCCATTTTGCTTCACAGAGCAATATCCGCCGAAAGTGCGCGCACACACATCCACACACATGCACACACACACAGCCACACACACACACACACACACACAATCTTACACACACATCTAAGAAATTGATACTAAACAGAATACAACTTAAAAGTAAGGTTGTTGCATATCATTTGTTCTTTTTGCATCTACCACATGAATCCTTGGATGTACCTTCATTTTCAGGGAATGTGTAAACACCTACTTGTGTGAGACACGCGGTCATTCTTAACACATAATATATTTGGGGATTAAATCTTGTACATAAATATCTCAGCATATTATATGTTTGTTAGACAGAAACACATAATCAACTATAGGATATAAATGAGTGACAATGGTTGATCTTTGATGAGCCACATTTTCGGAGTGAAGCCTTAAGGTAATTTGTCCAAGTGATGTTCTTCCCTGCTCTCACATGCAACTGCTCCAAACCAGTGCTATACGAGGTATTCAAAACCTAGAGTTTGTATAGGCAAACTGGTACCTGTATAAATATTCATCAATTATGAAAGCAAGCACAACAACTGTAATTGCTCTGAGACACATACATATTTATGGAATGATTGTGTTGCGGTCCACACAATGTCGTGCTTGTCAGAGCTCACAGGCAAAACAATGCCACATGACACAGCTTAGGGAGATGACGAAGATTCTGTTATTCTGTTTGTATGCCTAAGCAAGTAGGAAAGGGGCTGCTTATAAGCACCCAATACTTACAACACATCACCTTTTCCTGCCTCTCTGCATTTGATCTCATAATCAGAGAGCTTGTAATTAGTTATGCCCCCTAACCCCTCAGAAATCCATGGCACCAAACATAAAAGGTGCCTGCAGCCAAAGTTCCTGACGTTTTGTACATCGCAGGCTCACAAGCAGACCGTCTTCTGTCTGCTCTTACATTTCTCCTCTTTGTAATTCTGTACATATGAATATTACACACATCGCTTCATTAAAGGAAAGCCCTCTAAATCCAAAGTAAAATCCTCTTCAAAATATCCTTTCTAATAGATTTGTTCACAGCTGTTCTCTTCTCTACACCTCAGCTGTTTATAGCAGAAATTCAAATGCACGAAGAAAAACTTTCTCTGTATTTTAGGTCTGATCATGCAAATATACATTTTTCCGCTGATTCAAACTAAATAATCCGTTTTTATTGTGGTGCCATAACATAATCAAAACTGGATTGTCTTAAACTAAGTGTTTCATATTTTATTCAGTTGTAAACACACGATACAATCAAAAACACAAGTGTGATGTTATCTTCAAAAAGTATGACAAATTCTAAAAGAAGCATGAACAACAATAAAACCATATGACATAAAATGCAAAGAAGACTGAAATTTGTTTTAATAACTTCCTGGATAGAAGATTTTTATATAGAGAATGTGTAGACAATATATTCAGATACACACAGAAATTGTTAATAATAATAACAATAACAATTTCACCCAGTGTGTGGTGGAACCTAAAACCACCTACTTCATGTAGCTGCTCTATAACCATCACGTCCATACTGATTTATTGGAAGCTACACCCTGGTCAGGGGCAGTGTGAATGATACTTCTATTAGAGGGATTAGACTGATCTACTTACAGACCCCCCTCTGTGGCAGTTGCCCCAAGTTGCCTTCATTTGCCATGTTGAGTAAATTCCTACCGTGCTGTGTACACCCCGATTAGGGAGTGTGGGACTTAACCACCAACATCATCAGTCTTATGTCAAGCAATCCTTTGACAATTATGTTCACTGTGAAAGGGAGCATTTAAGGTGTTGAAGAGTGTGTTTGGATGGAGAGTGAGGCTGCACAGAGCAGGGTGGTGATCGCTCTTGTGGAATCTGTATGAGATGCTAGATATTATCATTAAGATGTAGGCTCTTGCAGATATTTTACCGTAGAGGAGCACCTCTCTCAGCTGAAATGCAATGTTTCTATAAGAAAAAAAGTTTAGCAACCTTTAGTTAAACACAAGGTCCTGTCACAACAGATTTGCTTGGGGCTGTTATATAGGGATACTTGTGTTTGCATTATGATATTAAGTTAGCGACACTGTCATTTGGGGAATTTGGGGAGCGTTTGGCAGATGGATTGAGAAAGATTAGCCGTAGCAGCTGCGTTTGGGACAGAATCGCAGATTAGGAGCTCTAATGTGCAGACCTGGCTCCTTCTTTACACTCCAGATTTGGGCAGCAACACCTTCCTATCACTCAGTCAGGGAGCGTCAACACTTCTGCCTTCGTCCCTTCCTCCCCCTTTTTACTCCCCTCTCATCTTCCTTTCCCTCTTGCCCAGGTTTGGGTTTTGCTCTATTTCTGCATCCACCACCCTTTCTCTTTTTAACACCTAGGCCTATGAGCTAACTTCCTGGTTGCTAAAGAGAAATTCTAGTGATCAAGCATATGTCTACTTTTTCCTGAATGCAGGTTTCACCATCAGCATCATGATGGGTGATGGTATAGTGAACATGGGTAACTAGCCAATATCAGACTAGGTATACTGATATTCAGTCAGTGGGTATGAACGAATGTCTGTGTGCATGCCTGTGCGTGCGCATGCATGTGTGTGTGAGTGTCTATGTTTGTATGTGTGTTTTAGTGTGCATAAGTGAGAGGAGAGAGATTAACCCCATGCTATCCCCAATCCCTGGTTATGAGTTTACAGCGTCTGTCTGGCCATCGCACTGTTTAAACAACAATCTAATTAATCCTGTCTTTATTAGTTTCAGTGAACTGGGGAGGCAGGCTGGGAGGGCATGAGGGAGAACTGGGAATGCTGGCAGAAAATACTGGGGAGGGAGGGGGAGGAAACCAAGTGTGAGAGCAGGGATTTGAGAGGAATTTAATGGCAAAGACTTAGGCCCTGTGAATGGAAATAGGGATGTGAAGAGATGGCCAGGCAGGAGAGAAATTGAAGGGTTATAACATCTCACAGGAGGAGAGATGGGTGGACAAAAGGAGAAAAGTGGTCATGGGGAAAAGCAATGGACCTGAGAAGGACTCTGTATTAAGCTTTATTCATAGTGTTAAATAGGTACTTTAAGATTGTGGGTGGGATATGGATAGACTGATGTTAACCCCATCAAACAGATCTCGAAATTTCAGGAGTTGAAAGGGAAAGACTCAGGCAGCTCTCTTATCACAAGCTAACTACTGCCACCTACTGTAATGAGGGAGAAAAGAAAATACAATGTAGAAATGCAGACTACTGTAATTCCTCTCAGCAGATGTTCACCTTGTTGCTCTGTGAATTGGGTAATGTTTATACGACCTTTAATTAAGAGACTATGCTAATCTCCAGAATCATTTGAGCTGAGGGTAAATGTATCGGAGCTCCTTGTCTATGCCTCCATCTTTAATTACCTCACCTTCTTTTTTTTGCACTTCCATAATACCATGTTTCACATTCTATGTAGGTATCCTTTACATAATAAGCTTATGAATATGTCTTTCTGTGCCCCTCCAGGCTGTTTGTAAGAAAGTGCAGCGCCTGCCTGCAAGTGATTGGACGTTCGGAGCTGATAATGCGTGTGCAAGGCCAGGTGTACCACCTGGGCTGCTTCACCTGCTGTGAGTGTGAACGCCGGCTGCAAAGAGGTGATGAATTTGTGCTGAAAGAAGGCCAGCTGCTCTGCCGCATGGACTACGAGAAGGAGAGGGAAATGCTGGCCGCTATTAGTCCCACACCAACTGAATCAGGTAAAGAAGCAGTATAAGGCTGCTTTGCCTGAATCATATAGCTATCGTTTCATAGTTGCTTGGCTTTTCTGCCCAGCCAATTTCAGTCACATAACTCCAGAAGGGCAAATGGGGTTTAAGGGTATAAGTCTCAAGCTGCCCCCTTCAGTATGTAGAAATGTATATTGAACTGGATTTCACACACTGAGTAGGTTACTCATTCAGTGGTCACTGGGATACTGAGTCAGTGGCATGCGATACAAGTGCTTGGCACAACAGCAGATCGGAATGGCAAAAGGTCTTATAAAATTGAACAAACTGTTTTAAATATGTAGCAGTAATAATACCACCATTTTAAAATAAAATTAGCTGTGTCAGCATTCATTTTCAGATAATGTTACTTCAGTCTGGAAAGTATAGCAGAAGTGTGTTGACTTCTGATCAGTCTGCAGACATTCTGGGAAATGTCTACAGCTTAAGAGACTCAGGCTACGGGTTGTTCTGACTGTTTTGTTGTCTACTTACCTTGCTCAGTGAAAAGTGAAGATGAGGACGGCGGAGGAGGCTCTGGTGGGGGTAAAGGTGGTGATGAAAGCAAGGAACACAAACGTTCAAAGCGACCACGCACCATCTTGACCACACAGCAGCGCCGTGCTTTCAAGGCCTCCTTTGAAGTGTCTGCTAAGCCTTGCCGCAAGGTGGGTGGACCAGCTTGTCTTATCAATTAATGTGTCTGCTGGGTAATACCCCCTTGACTTGCATACGTTATTATTGTTGGGCATCTTTGTCTTTGTCTGTATAGCAATTAATTTCAAGCTGTATTTGTTGCTGTAGAGTTTGTATTTTAAAAACAATGAAAAACTCTAACCTGTAGGTGAGAGAAACACTGGCTGCGGAGACTGGACTGACAGTGCGCGTTGTGCAGGTGTGGTTTCAAAACCAGAGAGCCAAGGTTAGACTTTATGCATTTCCTGAGGACATTCTGTTTTACACATCCACACAAAGAAAACATTCATACAGACAGTTGTGTTTTTTGCACTTCAGATGAAAAAGATAGCTCGTCGACAGCAGCAGCAGCAGCAGCAGCAGCAGGAACAAGAGCAGCTGGGAGGGACCAGGAGAGGACCGAGCAGAGGTGGCCGCCAGAGCAATGACGACAGTGAGGGTAAGAGCTTAAAGTGCCAATGCAGGATCAAGAAGAATAAGCAAAGATTTGAAGAATAGATGATGAAATGGTATGACTAAAGGGTTTATCATTTCTGCACAGATGGCTCTAGTACCCATGGCATGGATGGGATACTGGGGTATCCCTCTCTGCCACGTCAGCAGCTACTTGCTCTGGACCCCAACATCTACGGCGGAGAGCCATTTCGACATGGGCTTACACCGCCTCAGCTGAACAATGAGCAGCTCCACTCCTATGGTAAGACAGGAGGTTGAAGCTGCAAATTCAAAGGAAATTGTCCCCTCAGAGTTAACATTCTGAGGCAAAATACATTTTCCTGGTTTCCAGTTGTAAAAAGATATAAGGGTGTAAGGAAAAGGCTGAGATGCTTTCTGTTCTGTTCTGTTTTCTGCT